CCAAACATGGCATAAGTCCATGAAGTCACTGTCAAGTGGACTGATCCATGTTTGTAGGTGTAGACTACGTGGTTGGGGACCGCGAGATGATAGCAACCGATGGTGAGACACCTTGAATGACATGGCTGGAAATCGTTTGCAATGGCGCAGGTCCATCCACTTTTTGTGTTCTCCCAAATCCTAATCTTTTGAATTCTTCATATCCCTTTTTCCTCTTTACAAATTTATTTCGCTGGATTATACTCCTCGAATAACATGTTCAAACCCTAATGTTTCCGATTGCTGGTTATACTCTTACTACTTCTACCACTATGGAATTTGAATCGACAATTGTATCTGTGCATTAATATGGTATGGCAACTTGAACTGATGTACGTACGAACGAAGTTCTATGTTGTTACTTACTGACTGATTTTATAGTAGGATTGATGCTGTATTGATAGTAGCTTTTGTGATTATCAAACAATCTCATTGTCAGACGGTGTATTAGGTCAGACAAAGTGCGATAACTTCAAGAAGTCTACATTACTCCTCTTCATAATCACTTTTCTAAATTTCAATTTTTCTGTATTAATTCATTTCCGCATATAGAAAGTCTGGAGACACTTGCAAATGCGAATAATAATGAGTATCTCACTTGTCAAACATGTATTATATATAAGTATTTGAAGTAATAGTTGGTAGAATTTATTAATGTTAATATTAACATTGGGATACAGGTATATCTAGTTGAAGAATCCCAAGATAGACAAAATGCGCTACTTAAGATCTGAATGCCTGACTACATGAAGTCTAACTTCAGATAGAAGTTATACATTTTAGGCGACAAATTTCTTGGATGTGTGATACTTTCTCAGCATTCAAATAGCCTTTTTTGTAGGTCCTGGTTTCGAGTCTCGCGAGGTGGGAAACCACAATAGGATGAAATGGCTACCCAGTTCTTACAAGTCTTCCATGGTGGTCCAGCTTCAATTGACTCATGATCTCATCTATTAAAATGACATTGTTATGGAAAATATAAGATTAGCACTTATCGTAAACTGTTCATCTTGAACTATGTCCACACTAGCCACTCACTGGTTAGTACTTAAAATTACAATATATAGTGCTTAGTATTGATAAAAATCTATAGTTTAGACATCTACTCATGTCACTAAGCCAAGTTATTCACAAACACAATGTACTCTGTCTATGTTTAGATTTATAAATTAAGATAGAAATTCTGGGTCAAATGGTGAAATCGTCATAATTCGTTATTCTAGGTAGTTTGAACATTTATCACCAAGATTAGCCTGTAGTGTGCTATGTTAAGCCCATATGACTTGTTCTAGCTTCTGGACAAAACAATTATCCATTCTTCTTGAGTAGTCACGGTTTTGACCTTGCTAATTATTCACTTATCAACTGTGACTGTTTTTATATGAGCGTGTTTGTGTGTGTACACTTTTATCCTATTCATCACATATCTGCAATCTATTTTTATCTGGATTAACGCTTGATTAAATGGAGTTGGCTCACAAAATGCCTTCTCCACTGCGCGTCGTTATGATTCACTTTCTTCTATTCGCCCAATCCTTCTCATTTCCTGTCCAAATCAGTGAGTGTGCAATATATATGTATTCAAAAAATCCATTCTCTTATTCACTAACTCGATTTAAGTCGATAATCGATATACGAGAATAGCCGACATATGTATTTCAATGACAGTCAGTATACGATCCAACTGGAGTCAGATTCAGGACCATTATAGTGATGAGCCAGTCAACATCGTGTGGTCTAAATGACGTCAAAATGAAGGGCCACTAAAAACCACAGTCTCCTAACACTTACCAATGATGACTGAGTATTAATGAGTTAGTAGACAATAGTATGATATCAGTAAGTAGATTTCATTGATTTTTTGGAGTGTTACTTCTCTATAAGTGTGAATTTTCAGATTGGGATACTAGCGATTATCATAATCCATGTTCAGAGATGTTGGTTAGTCAGCCATGAGACTGAATACTGTAATACTTTTGGAATCACTCTTACCTTAATATTACTTTGTACTTTGAATCCTTTAGTTTTATTTGTTTTTTAACCATGTTTCTTACATTTAATTCTTTATAGTATTAGATATCACTTCTTTTTATACACTTCTTACCTTGTTAGTTTTGTTTGCCATCATGTCTATACGTAACAACTTGGACTACTGACTGATCCTTGAATAACATGTTCAAACCCTAATTTTTCTGATTACAGCTTATAATTTTACTACCTTTATCACTACGGGATTTGAATCGACCACTGCATCTCTGTGCTAATGTGGTGTGGCAACTCGAACTTATGTACGTACGTACGAAGTTCTATGTTGTTACTGACTGACTGACCGAGATGTTTTGAAAGTGTGATTTGAAAATGAAATTGGATTTACATACAAAATAGGTAATTGGTAATTCTGTCGTCTAAATTAAAACGTCTTTGAAGGTAACGTGAAAGTATTTAGATACAATTTTTTTCAGGAAAACAAATCAAAGGCGATACTATTCAGTTGATCGTTATCATAACTGTTTTAACCTAGTGAAGATTAGAGTACAGGTAACTTCTATTAAGTAGCTAGATTATGTATATCTATATTCTCCTTATTATAAGCCTTATTTTGACCTATAGGCTATCTTTAACTATACTCAGTTTATTGATTACAGTCTCTCGCAATCACAGCCACCTTCGGGCTTGATCTTGTACAAATGTTATTTCCTATTTTATGGTGTGATGTGATCTGTTTGGCTTGTATATAAACCAGATATGTTTGAAGTAAATGATTCATAGTGAAAGCTGTTATTGGTGTTCTGGACTCAACTGGCAGGGCTGTGAGGAAAAACGACCAATAAGGACACTAAACTGCTCATACCGGTTGAACGTCACACAGTGCTAAGTTTGAATAAGTCGTATTCCGATTAGCGAATAAGTCACGTGATATTTAGATGGACTTAAAGTCACAAAAATAACCTACACGAATAAGACCGAATGGCAGTTGTTTGTTTTGAAAGTTCAGTTTTGGTTACACACAATTTGCTAAGTTTATGAAGATCAGACGTCAACAAAAAGGTTAAATTTGTTTTGAATTATCGTGATGAATCATGTTGATTCATAAATATGTTTGACTACAATATTCATCTATTAAAGGTTTTTCTTCCTTAAAGCGTAAACTGAAATGACACGTACATGTTTCACTTTGAAGGGTTTTTAGTGTTGATTTATTAGCGATTCTCTTTATGATGTCAGCTCTAAGCGCATAACTGGGCCTTACAAGTATTCATGGTCAGTGACGCTATAATGAAAATGGTGTGAATTGCTTGCTGTACATTTCGGTTTCTAAAAGAAACGGATTACATCTGAGTTCTATTAGTTCAATTTGATATTACGAATGATTGAGATATAAAATATTGGATGCAAACAGTGTTTTAAAGTTTAAACGTTTATCAATAGCTCGTAAGTCCTAGATCCTTGCTGGGACGAAACGACCGTCCATATAAACACAGACTAGCAATGAAAACTATTTTAGACTATTACTTATATCAATATATACATACCACAATGAGCACGGATTTGATTGGAAAGGCGTCAAGACACTAAACTGTGAAAATTTCAAGAATGATTTGGATTGGAGTAGACTGTTATTTGTCATATTGATCCCTCTAGGTCCAGTCCATCAAATATCCGTAAATCCACATGCTGAGGACAATTGATCTTGTAGATGATGCATTTAACTTCCCATGCTTTAGCATCTTTCATTCCAGATTACGTCAGCTAGTCACTGACTGATTCTGAAGTAACCTAATATCCACGTAATAGCTAGTGGAAATGTTTTCGTATACGATCTATTTCCTGGGAAGATTTTGTCACTGTCTATCCAATATACTTATATTTACGCCAGTATATATTTTTGTGAAAGATAAACTTGAGACGTGTTCGTTTAATATTTCATGCAGTGAAGGTGCTCTATCAAGCCTTGATTTTTGTGATAATTATTTATATACAATGATTTATTTCTGTTGTTGGAACCGAAAAGCAAAAATCATCTGCCTTAGTTACAAATCTTCCCGCTCATCTTAATTATAACTCTTTGGTTGTGCATTGTTTTATGTCAAATAATTTAAAAGAAAAGAGGTATTACCTGGGGTTCTAGTGAGAAGCAGTAGCATGTGGAGTTGTACATTATATGACCGTATGGTTGTTTTACTTCAGATTTAATTTGAACCGTTCTATCATTTCGATTAATTTATGAATCGAAGCTCTGGTACGGCCGAGAGTGGGGAGAGTCAGCTCTCCCTCTTGAAATGCTCTTAAAAGGCCACATGCATACAGACACTGCCAAGGAAGTCCTATTCACTGCCTCCTCGCCACGGGAATATTGTTTATGAAACTGAGAGGACGGAAATCGAATAACCTGTGCTTTAACCAGGTTGATGGATACGGAGGATCCACCTAGGAGAGTTGGAAAACCCTTATTCCATGCAAATGGTGCCCATGCATTCCAGTATCCTGAAGGGACAAATGGCATATGAACCAATCGTTGGTCACCGGCTACCATGAGACTGCATCTCTTGACGTTGCTCCACTGCCTTGTGAATCAAACCTTTACGTTGAAGGTTCCAGGCGTGACCCCTCAAGAAAACCACGTGCTTTGGTTTGGGCACGCGGATCAAAATCTCATGCTCTATCATTAGTAAGATTAACTCTTTCATAGATTTACAAATAATTTATTTGGTACTTTTAATGAAAACTAATTATTCACATAGTAACACATTTGTATATGTTTATACACATAAAGTACATTGTTTAAATTCACATCACACATAACAGTAATATGCCATAATCATCTTAATAATGATAATTAACATTTTTTTCTTATGTAATACTGGTAATGAATAAACAAATGGACTATTTGTAACAGTTAGGTAATTACTTACAATTGGATGATAACTTTAAAGGAATAATAAAACTAGACATTTCCATGATCAAATTTGTAATACTTCAATATCATTATCAATATTATCTAATTGTTCAGTGATGTTATGATCGATCAATCGATTGAATGAATTCCGATTGTTAATCATGTTGGATTCATTTGATAGTTGATTAACTGTTTTATGAAATGTTAACCATGATGGTTGTTTGAAAGTATCTTTTAAGCTATCTTGATCATTATTATTATTATTATTTCTCTGATTAATTCCTGTTTTCCAATTCGAATTGTGTATAGATGCATTGATAATGTTCGAATTGTTACTGAATAAAATTCGATTATTAGAAGATTGATGTTGATTTATCACTTCCTGATATGTATAATAAAATGAATAAACGAAAAGAAAAGAGTAAAATACAATATGATTAGTATAGATATATTTACTTTCCGAATACTGTTTATCCTATCTTTACGACTACGGGATTTGAATCGACAACTGGATCTCTGTGCTAATATGGTATAGTAACTCGAACTGATGTACGTATATACGAGGTTCTGCGTTGTTACTGATTGACCGACCGAGATATATTTACGTATAAAGAATTTATTAGACTTGTTAACTAATTTTATTGCCTTTTTTGTTTTCATTCTGACACACCTCAATGGTATAAACCACAAACGTCAATATAAGTAATAATTGTGTAGTATTTTGAATATGTGGATCAAATTTCCATGCATATAATTTACAACTATAACACCGCCTGGAGTCCTCTGAGGATACTGCCGATCCGAAGCCCGGATAAAAGAGGGTTGAGCATAATGTTAGCGATGTCATCCCGTAGAAAACTAACTCGCTAAAAAAACGATAACCAGAAAAAATTATTCAAACTATGCTTAGAAGTTAAAAGGTTTCCATTTAGAAGAGTTATGACGCCTCACGGTGAAAGCTGAGTTCCTTCGGAAGTCGCAAGGCTAATACCCCTTCTGACAAACAGAGCAACCAGTAATTTAGATCCATGAAATGCTCGTACAATGTGGGAGACAGAGTCTTTCGAATTGTTGCAGAAATTTACAGGTATAATAACTTGATAATACATTGTTAGAATCGTCTCATATAAATCTCTTGATGTAAAAAAAATTTTTCGAATAACTATTGTTAATAGTTTTATTTCAATAATTGAATTCCTGAGTAAATTGAAGCTAGACCACCTTGGAAAACCTGAAAGCACTGGACGGCCGTTTCATCCTAGTATGAGAAGCCGTGACCAGTGGAGTTCAGCCTGGTCTGTTCCTGAGATAGTAACTCATTGAAGACAATGATGGATGTGTCGCTCAATTTCGTGGATTAGTTGAAGGTAGACATTAACACCAGTGGATGCCAGCTCAGTGGTCTAAAGTTTGAGCGTTCGCGTGTGAAACTGATAGGTCCTGGGTTCAAATCTCCCGGGGCGGGATCGTGGATGCGCACTGCTACTGGGGAGTCCCACAATAAGACGAAACGGCCGTCCAGTGCTTCCAGGTTTTCCATGGTGGCCTGGCTTCGATTGACATATAAATCCAATCATTAAATTACTTATTAGCTTTTTATGGTAAAGTTTCATACGATCATACTTATTGACAAGTGAATCTTGGTGAGCCTTAAAGTAAGTAATCGACAAATATGGAAAGTCTATTATGAGTAAGTGAATTATTCGCTTAATAAGGTCACTGACGACATCTTTCTATCTACATATACGTATCACAGTTGTACAATTTGGGTTCCCATTAATATTTTGCCTTTTTCCTCTGCATAGCTACGTGGTCAGGCTTCAATAAAAGGATAGTAAATAAATTCCACTAAAGAAAATAACAAATTATTGTCTCAAAGCCAATTACTTCATATAATAGGAATATTAATCTTGTAAATCATACTAATCCATTTATTCTATGGATTCTCTTCAGTTGTATAGAACTACAAATGAATATTATGGTGTGGGCTGCTTATATCCACACAAGTAGTATATAGCGATGGTCAGGTATAGAATGTATTTCAGTAGAAGAAAGAGAAGAAAAGAACGGAAACGGAAAGCAATTGGTATAAAATGCAAGAACAATGCATTCTGAAACGATGGATTGATATTTGCAAAGCAGCAGTTAAGTTTGAAAAAATTGATAGACATTTTGCAAATTAACCATTTACCGTATGATACTTAGATATTAGTGAGATGTTTTATATGAATAATCGTCAAGATTAGAACGAATAGTTTGACAGAAATTGGGCACCGAGTATAGAGAAGACATTTTATGTGAAAATTATATTTGAAATAATCTCATCGATTGAAATCTAAATAATTCCAAAGTTTCGTCCAGTCAACTTATCTGAACTTCTTTAGGGTAATGATCAAAATCATAAAAATTATATAGCTGTTCTGTAATTTCACATCCAAATATGTTTGTTCCCACTCATGTTCTTCTTTACTAAAGTAGTAGTGCAGGTGGTTTCCTTAGGTGGCCCTATCCCTGAGTATTTGGACTGGAGGTCTAGTTCAGAAGGTAGTGAAGCAGCGTCAGGAGATACAGTCCCTTGGTAGCCAGTGACCAACAATAGGTTAATATGCCATCTGTTCCTTTGAGATACTGGAGCTCATGCCCATCATTGGTTTGTAATCAGGGTTTTCCAACTCCTCTAAGTGGATCCTCCAATTCCACCAACCCGATTTAAGCGCCGGACATTCGCTTTTATTCCTCTTACTTTCGCAAACAATAGTAATGTCGCGAGAAGGCAGTGAGTAGGACTTCCTTGGCAGTGATTGTATGCACGTGGCCACTCGAGAGGATTTTGAGAGGGAGAGCTGACTCTCCCCATTGTCGGCCGTTTCAGGGCATTTAGGGGCAAAATTAAGTTATTGGTTTAGTCCTTGTCTGATTTAATAAATGCACGATGTTACCTTTTCACAAACTAAGATGAAATAGCTAACCAGTTCTTAGTTTTCAACAGTTTCTCAGTTGGTTTGAATTTGTAATAATTACAGTAGTGTATAATTCTGTGCATTATGATTATAAAAGAAAAACATCTTACCGATGTTTTATTGACATTATCCTTTATCGATCCAAATAAATCATTCCATAGTTCTTCTTCTCTTGTCTTTCCAGTACTAGTTTTTGAAATAACAAATCACACCAAAATTAGAATAAAAAAGTAGCTTAGATATGGTAGAAACTACTAAATTTATTTAGAATCATGGACGCGCACTGCTGAGGAGTCCCATTAAAGGACGCAATGGCTGTCCAGTGATTTCAAGTTTTCAATGGTGGTCTCACAACAATCGGTTCACGATCTCAATCAAAAATGTTTAGAAGTAATTGGTCACTTGATTAGTGACCATGTCATGTTTGTCTAGTACTTTAAGCACAAATTAAATCCTATCGATCAAGCTGGAATGTATTCATCAGTTTAAGTGACTCGATATCTTGTGAACTGTGTTTTGATTTTAGTTGACTGAAGGTACCCAAAAGGAAGTCGTGGGCCCAAGTCTCGGTAACGTAGTAATTATTCATCAACATAGATTAGCTGAAGTCTTGAAGGGACTGATGCTCCCTATGAGACATAAATATTTTATAATGATTTGCAAATACAATCTCACATTACCTTTCTTTGGAATAATTTTATCTCAACTTAACAAGTTAGTTAAGTTGTACACAGAAAAAGTTGATTAGGTGGTAGTGTAGTGTATGAGAACACATGTGGTGACAATCGAATATATTGCAATACGAAATTACAGAACATCATAGTAAAATCTGAGAACCATGCAGTGAATACTTAATTTGCAAAATGTCAATCAATTGTCTCAAACTTGGCTGTTCCTTTTGCAAATCTCATTTCATCGTCTCAGACTTCATTGTTCCTGCATTTTATACCAATTGCTTTCTGTTTCTGTCCTTTCCTTCTCGACCTTCTGCTGCCAGACATTCTGATCCTGACTATCGTTATATACTATTCATGTCGATCTAAGTAGCACACACCACATCAGTACTGTACTGTCTAAATTATATATTCCCATCAAACCATTAAAAAGATAAGTTGAACGAATAAATATTTTCTTTTAGTTTGTATTTCATCAGGGCTCTACACCAATATATATAAGCTTTTTAAAGCGTTAGAAGGTGACACCAATTACATTATAGTGAGTCAATTTAACAATGTGGTAATCAGCTAGTTACTTCTGGAGAATAAAAAGTAAGGTGTATTTTCACAATCGGTTACTTATTACAAGCAGTTACATAAGATTTTTGGTTGAGATCATGAACCGATTGGTATGTGACCATCATTAAAAACCTGGAAGCATCGGACAACCGTTTCCTCCTGTTGTGGGACTCCTCAGAAGTGCTCATCCACGATCCCGCCTCGAGGGATTCGAACCCAAGGCCTTCGGTTTTGCGCGCGAACGTTTAATCATTAGATCACTGAGCCGGCATCCAGAGGTGTTAGTGTCTAACCTCAACCAACCCACGAAATTGCGCAACCATCTTCCATTGTACTGAGCAAGATACCTGTCTCTACCCGACACGCATTAACCACTGGTTACAGCTTCTCAATAGAACCCCGAGGATTCCCTCACGAAGCTAGTCAATAGTGAGTACATGGTAATTATCAGTATGGGGACGGGTACAATGAAAATGAAATAGTAATGTTACTAAACAGGTTACATAAGATTTGAATTAGAAATTAAAATAATAACAAAATTGAGAAAGATTTAGAAACATTTAATGATATCCAAGTAGATGACCAGGTTAGATTCAAAGTCTGTATACAAACATTAGGTTTTTGATTAGCATTCCTATGTATTGTGATGCATGTAAGTATCAAATTTCAGAATAATTGGGTAAATTTGGTGGGACACTGAAGTTTTATCTATGTGATGACAATTATCGAACAGATGCACCAAGATAAACCTCTTTACCACTTTCTTTTGTCGCAGGGTCAATCATAGAGGTTGATGTTCAGAAATGCAATGATACATTTGTTTAGTTATGTGTCTACATATTAGTGTAGAGCCCTGATCAAGAATTAACTGATAATAAACATGCCTCCTGTCAATTGTTCCTTTTTGCGGTGCAGCTTTTATCAATGTTCTACTTCAAACAGAAGAGAGGTTCTAAAAATAAATCAATCAGCTTTGATAACCTTGCCTCTTATTTGTTGTTTTTATGTGCTTCATCTAACAGATGTGTTAGGCTGATCTCAGGTGCTGTAACCTATTGATTGTTTAGTATAGAATAGTAGATTGAATCTATGTAGCAATGTTTACTACTTGAAGATTGACCTGAATGTCATACTTATAGAAATTCTATAGGAATCTTCAGATTTATTGGGTGAATAATTTTGGCATTTTCTAACTGAAATGCATAACTGTCTGCAACTAATAAGCAAAGATAGATGGTGGATGGCAGCGTTTCGTCCTATTCGTTGCTCGTCGGTTGGTTTAACATATATCCTAGAGCTGATATTTACTCCGAGACTCAAATCCAGTACCGTTCGCTTCAAAAGCCATAGTGTTATCCACATAGTTATTGAGTCCAGATATCCACTAGTTTGTACAATGGGGTGACGTTTTAATTCACTTTTGTATTGGTTGTTTAAATTTGCCCATTGATGTTTAGGACTGCAATTGATCTTTCTCTTATTGGCATATGCGCATCCTGTTCAGATTGCCTCGATATCACCTTAGATCACAAGCATTATACGCGATAGCGTCTGAATCGAACGGTACTGGGTTCGAATCAGTCAGTAGTCCAAGTTGTTACGTATATAGACATGATGGCAAACAAAACTAACAAGGTAAGAAGTGTATAAAAAGAAGTGATATCTAATACTATAAAGAATTAAATGTAAGAAACATGGTTAAAAAACAAATAAAACTAAAGGATTCAAAGTACAAAGTAATATTAAGGTAAGAGTGATTCCAAAAGTATTACAGTATTCAGTCTCATGGCTGACTAACCAACATCTCTGAACATGGATTATGATAATCGCTAGTATCCCAATCTGAAAATTCACACTTATAGAGAAGTAACACTCCAAAAAATCAATGAAATCTACTTACTGATATCATACTATTGTCTACTAACTCATTAATACTCAGTCATCATTGGTAAGTGTTAGGAGACTGTGGTTTTTAGTGGCCCTTCATTTTGACGTCATTTAGACCACACGATGTTGACTGGCTCATCACTATAATGGTCCTGAATCTGACTCCAGTTGGATCGTATACTGACTGTCATTGAAATACATATGTCGGCTATTCTCGTATATCGATTATCGACTTAAATCGAGTTAGTGAATAAGAGAATGGATTTTTTGAATACATATATATTGCACACTCACTGATTTGGACAGGAAATGAGAAGGATTGGGCGAATAGAAGAAAGTGAATCATAACGACGCGCAGTGGAGAAGGCATTTTGTGAGCCAACTCCATTTAATCAAGCGTTAATCCAGATAAAAATAGATTGCAGATATGTGATGAATAGGATAAAAGTGTACACACACAAACACGCTCATATAAAAACAGTCACAGTTGATAAGTGAATAATTAGCAAGGTCAAAACCGTGACTACTCAAGAAGAATGGATAATTGTTTTGTCCAGAAGCTAGAACAAGTCATATGGGCTTAACATAGCACTACAGGCTAATCTTGGTGATAAATGTTCAAACTACCTAGAATAACGAATTATGACGATTTCACCATTTGACCCAGAATTTCTATCTTAATTTATAAATCTAAACATAGACAGAGTACATTGTGTTTGTGAATAACTTGGCTTAGTGACATGAGTAGATGTCTAAACTATAGATTTTTATCAATACTAAGCACTATGTATTGTAATTTTAAGTACTAACCAGTGAGTGGCTAGTGTGGACATAGTTCAAGATGAACAGTTTACGATAAGTGCTAATCTTATATTTTCCATAACAATGTCATTTTAATAGATGAGATCATGAGTCAATTGAAGCTGGACCACCATGGAAGACTTGTAAGAACTGGGTAGCCATTTCATCCTATTGTGGTTTCCTCATCAGTGAGCATCCACGATCCCACCTCGCGAGACTCGAAACCAGGACCTACAAAAAAGGCTATTTGAATGCTGAGAAAGTATCACACATCCAAGAAATTTGTCGCCTAAAATGTATAACTTCTATCTGAAGTTAGACTTCATGTAGTCAGGCATTCAGATCTTAAGTAGCGCATTTTGTCTATCTTGGGATTCTTCAACTAGATATACCTGTATCCCAATGTTAATATTAACATTAATAAATTCTACCAACTATTACTTCAAATACTTATATATAATACATGTTTGACAAGTGAGATACTCATTATTATTCGCATTTGCAAGTGTCTCCAGACTTTCTATATGCGGAAATGAATTAATACAGAAAAATTGAAATTTAGAAAAGTGATTATGAAGTGGAGTAATGTAGACTTCTTGAAGTTATCGCACTTTGTCTGACCTAATACACCGTCTGACAATGAGGTTGTTTGGTAATCACAAAAGCTACTATCAATACAGCATCAATCCTACTATAAAATCAGTCAGTAAGTAACAACATAGAACTTCGTTCGTACGTACATCAGTTCAAGTTGCCACACCACATTAACACACAGATACAACCGTCGATTCAAATTCCATAGTGGTAGAAGTAGTAAGAGTATAACCAGCAATCGGAAACATTAGGGTTTGAACATGTTATTCGAGGAGTATAATCCAGCGAAATAAATTTGGAAGGAGAAAAAAGGGATATGAAGAATTCAGAAGATTAGGATTTGGGAGAACACAAAGAGTGGATGGACCAGTACCATTGCAAACGATTTCCAGCCATGTCATTCAAGGTGTCTCACCATCGGTTGCTATCATCTCGCGGTCCCCAACCACGTAGTCTACACCTACAAACATGGATCAGTCCACTTGACAGTGACTTCATGGACTTATGCCATGTTCTGGTCTGGCCGCTCCTAGCTTTCTTCCAGTCTACTCCTATACTATGAAACATCGCACGTCGAGGCAGTCGGTGGTTGGGCATACGTAACACATGTCCCAGCTATTTCAACTGATGAAGTTTCACTACTTCATTAATCGATTTGCCATCCTTACCTAGGACCCGTTTCCTAACAACTGCATTACTTACTCGGTAGTCCCAGGATATACAAGCAATGTTTTGAAGACACCTTGATCGAATACTAGTAACCTACGGATATCCTCTACTCTTACCGGCCATGTTTCACGAAACGAACTGCTCTTCGTTAGGTTCAGAGCCAGCTGGAATGAGTTTCCGAGCATCTCTCAGTGCGATAGATGCATCTGAGATCCAGTGTTTCTCCCTAACCTTGTGGTTTACCATACTGCCAGATGTCACTGCTGTTTCCACAGCTTTCCATGCTGCCTCAGGGTGGGCATCACATACATGGCTGCCTAACTGTTTTTCTAGTTGTTTATGAAATATACTCTTAGCTTGACTATCATTAGATAGAACCCTAAGAGGTTTCCTTGCAGCGTCTTTCCTAGGTCCAGTAAGACGCAGACAAGTACGCGCTCGCACCAGAGCATGATCTGAATCTAAGCATGTGCTCCAGAATGAGCGACAATCTTCTACCGAGCCCCTCCATCGGTGGCTGATAGCGATGTGGTCTACTTGAGCCCAACGTTGGGACGAATTAGGGGGTCGCCATGTTAAAAGATGTTTTTCCTTATGCTTAAAGTTAGTATTTGCAAGGAACAGACGGTTATCTGAGCATAGCTGCAACAGACGGTCGCCATCATCTGTTCTTTGAGCCATGATGCTATAAGATCCACCTAGGTGTCTTCCTCTATTGCGAACAATAATAACTATGTATATATATGCTAGAAACAGGTCAGTTATTATTGCAATCCAGTGATTTACACTCATTTATGTCGATTATTTTCACACTATTTTCATGTAAAAACATTCCATCACAATTTTGGTTTGTAAGCAGCTGACGCGTAACCTCGAAATTATATGAATTCATACTATTCTGCACCAATGTTTGTTCTTGCTCTATTTAAATTCATAAAGAGAACCAATTGCAAGAAAGAATGAGTTGGTAGAAAGAAAGATATGAAGCATTTTTATTCTCTTAGTCTACGGGAAGATAGGGATGTATACACCAACGCCATTGTGATCGATTCTCAGCCATGTCACCCAAAGTCCTCAAGCATTGGTTACAGTAGTCACGTGGACCCCAACCAAATAATCTGTATCTACCAACGTTGCTCAGACTAGAGGTTAGTGACTTCATCACTGATGTCACGTTTTGATTTGGTTGCTCCTAACTTTCTTCCAACCATCCGTGAATCGTGGTAATCGGTATTCAGGCATACGTAACACGTGACCGAACCATCTCAGTCGATGAAGATTCACAACTTCATCAACTGATTTACTATAATTTCTGAATATCCTTCGTCTAATCTCACTGTTACTTACCCAGATGCGATTTACATCTAGTTACAAAAGGAACTCTCATGAGTTCTCGCGTACCGAAGTCTTAATAAAAGTATTGACTGGTTTATATGATATCTCATTAAAATATTATCGTACACCTTATTCATCATTAATTCAAGTTAAAAGCTAGAGTTCTTGTTCAGTAGTCTTAAAATAGAGTTTAAATTTGATTAAAGTGAGTTTGATAATAGTTTCATTATAAAATGAAATTAGTTAAGTAGTTAAGTAGAAGCAGAAATGATGAAGTGTTGTTAGGTCATATAATTTAAATATGCAACAATACATATGATCAATATTTCTAAAACTGTAAATTGGACTATACAACAATGTAACAAGTCATATTGTGGTGCATACTACTTATACTGACAGATATATAAGTAGTTTGTAGAAACAGTCGAAAGTGAAATGTCAGTCAGTAGAAGATTAAATTGAAGGGAACCAGTGAGCAATTGTAATAACAATAAGATTGGAAGAATCATTATTTCTATCATTTTTTAGAAGTCAATATTTGAAGTTGTGCAATGAAGGATAACTATAGTTTGTCACCATGACGTTACTATTCGACACTTATTAATTGTTTTATAAACGAGGTGAATGATTATTGATCTAAATTTGTTACCATCCTCATCATCCCTCCTATCAATTCTTAACCCTAAACACCAAATGTAAATCATAATTGTAATTCCTCACACCGGTTTATAATCGTCATTTGGTTTTGGTTATTAAGTGGACACTCTCAAAGTTAGTCTAGCGTCACTCAAAGGTCGGTCATCGATTATAGTCTCAACGTAACGTGATTAAGTAAATAAGCCAAATGATTGAAAATCATTTTATGATGACTTAACTGATCGATCATTGAACAAACTAGCCCAAAGTTGTGAACTTAATCCTATTGATCAAATATCCTACAACGTTAATTGACTAGATGTTAATCAAATTCTACTAAAACCTGAATTGAGATAGATTTTGTTTGGATTCACTAAGTGGATATGACATTAGATATCCCTTGATTATGCATACTAATTAGTATAAACGTAAGTTAAGGTTCTTCTACAGACTATCGTTGATCATGTAATATCAAAATGAAAAATTTATCAAGGTGTTTCCATACCCTCGGAAGTCAATTGTATATGTGGTTCAGAATATCAACAGACAATAACTCGATCTTTTCGAAAGTCATCTGTCTTCAAATTTCTAAACATCACATTCACAGTAACTTGATAATGTTTTAGTTTTTTGCAATAATTGGATATAAACTAACAGTCTGTAGCCTCATCTTTTCTTATCCAACGTCCAAGCTTCCAATCCTATGGAGTTCAATAGATGCCGCTGAAATATAATGTTCAAAAGTCTCAACTCTATTCAAGTAATTTTTGGTCCTACGAAAATCTGACTTCATAATGTTTGTATAGAAGAGATCAGTTTGGTAGAAAGTTTTTATTCCAAAACAATATCACCCTGAACAATCATTACATATTGATTAATTATGGTACGTAGTTAAATCCTTGACATTTCATAATGAACACATTTAATCTAAAATATCATTATATTTTATGGAATATATGGACTGTAGGTAGTAATGGAATTCTGAAAATAATGTAATCCTATTTCGGACTCAACGGCTAGTTGCATCTGTATCCCCCTTTAAATACTTTCACTACAATTTAAACCCGGAATGTTATCCATCTAACTACTAATGCATGATAAACACCTTCAGAGGATATGATGTTTGTATCATTGTTAATTAAAGGTTGAATTATCCCTTCTTGAATACCCATAAAAGAATAATTCCAAACCTTATTATTAATGATAAAAACATCATATACGCTCATCAATTCAGTGGTTATCATCCGAATAATTTGAAGTACTCTCTTCTAGTCTTAATATGAAAGTCAACACTGCGTTACTGCTATATTCTACTAACGAGTCCCAAACAGGACGAGATGGATTTTATAGAATCTACTATTATCCATATTCCATTTATTTCACAAGAATTGTAACAAAATAATCACATCGAGGTGATTCATATAAGATACACTTATATCAATAAAGAATAATTAAAATTCAGTCCTAAATATTAACAACGAGGTATTTCAAATCGTGCATGGAGGACAGCTGACAAACTCGTTCGAAGTAAATACCAGTGTCAGGTAAGGTTCTTAACTTTATTTCTCTTTCTCTTGTTGATCGACTGGATTATGAAGACGTCAATATCTGGGAGGATGCATGGGATACATTGGACAACTAGGACGCAGCTGGATGATCTAGACTTCATAGATGGTCTAACTCTTCTATGGCACACGCAACGACAAATGCAGAAGACGAAAAGTGCAGCAGCCTCAGCAACAGTAGGTTTTAACATACACAAAGGAAAAAACAAGATTCTCCAATACAACACAGCATTCACCAATCCAATCACACTAGACAGAGAAGCTTTGGAGGATGTAAAAACCTTCATATACCTGGGCAGCATCATTGATGAACATGGTGGATTTGATGCAGATGTGAAGGCGCGAATCAGAAAAGGAATAGCAGGATATTTACAACTGAAGGACATCTGGAACTCAAAACAACTGTAAACCAACATCAAGGTCAGAATTATCAATGCAAATGCCAGAACAGTTCTACCGTACGGGAGTAAACTTGGAGAACTACGAAAACCATCATCCAGAAGATTCAAATGTTCATTAACAGATGTCTATTTAAAATACTTCGGATCTGTTGGCCAGACACTATCAGCGATAACCTACTGTGGGAGAGAACGAACCAGATTTCAGCGGAGGAAGAAATCAGGGGGAAGAAGCGCTGGAAGTGGATAGGACACTTATTGAAGAAAGCACCAAACTGCGTCACAAGGCAAGCCTTTACTTGAAATCCTCAAGACCAAAGAAAAAGAGGAAGTTCAAATGACAAAATACGTGAAGAAATGGAGACAAATATGAGAAGAATGAACGAAAATTAGATAGAGCTGGATAAGAATGCTGAGGACAGAATAGGTTGGATAATGCTGGTCGACGGCCTATACTCCATTGAGAGTAACAGGTATAAGTTAGTAAGCACGTAAGTCAGCTACAACGTAGGACTAGGCAGATATATGCATCGGTTCAAGTCGCCATACCTCATTAACACAAGATGAACACCAGATTCATAAAAGTAGTTAATTCAGAGCTGGTAATGTATAAAAGAAAAATTGCATATAAGGACATAGTACAGGAAGAAAGAATGAGTTGGTAGAAAGAAAGATATGAAGCGATTTCAATCTGTTAGTTTAAGGGAAGATAGGGAATGTATACACCAACGCCATTGTGATCGATTCTGAGCCATGTCACCCAAAGTCCTCAAGCATTGGTTACGATAGTCACGTGGACCCCAACCAAATAATCTGTATCTACCAACGTTGCTCAGACTAGAGGTTAGTGACTTCAAGCATTGATGTCACGTTTTGATTTGGTTGCTCCTAACTTACTTTCAACCATCCGTGAGTCATGGTAGTCGGTATTCAGGCATACGTAACACGTGACCGAACCATCTCAGTCGATGAAGATTCACAACTTCATCAACTGATTTACCATTATTCCTTAATACCCTGCGTCTAACCAATAGATTAAAACTTAAGAAAACTTACTTATTATTCTTTGAATTGGTAATAGGATTATGTAATGCATTGAATTGTGATGTAATATCATTTTCATATTGTTTATGATTATTGTCTTTTTTATCGATTTCTTGAAGTGTTTGTATTAAATGTAATTTATATTTTCTTTCTTCTATTTCATTTTCTATTGTGTTTTTTGTGTTTTTCTTATTTATATTACTTTCTTGTTTCATTTGAGTAGTATATAGTTCATCAGTTTGATTATGATCAATGGAAAGATCATTATTATTATTCATTTGACTGATATTATTGTTTAACAAAATAGAAATATCAGAAAGGGGTTTATGTAGATAGTATAGTAATTATGATAATAGTTAAGATTATGAGTCGATTGAAGCTAGACTATCATGAAAAACCTGAAAGCACTAGACGACCATTTCATCCTATTGTTTGACTCTTTAGCAGTGTACATCCACGATCTTGCATGGAGAATTCAAACCCAGGATCTGTCAATCTCATGCTTGAGCGCTTAACCTCTAACTTCAATTGATTCATACTCTCAACTTTTAAAACAGAAATAGTTAAATGATTAATAAAATAAAAATGACACGTATTTTATAGAAAATATGTAAGACAATTACCGATATTTGTAGATGTTAACAAAGAAATCATAAGTAAGATAGATTTCCGAAAATTCTAGTAAGAAGCTGTTACCTGCAGATATGATTAGATAAAAAAATGAGGTAACTGTTATTCATTGAACTGGATAATCACCTAGTCTAGTTACAAAGTGAAGAGTTGGAAATCTGAACTATACAGTCAGCCATAAAGTAGGATCTAGGCATATATACGCATCGATACAAGTTGTCACACCTCATTAGCATAGCAAGATGAACAATGGATTCATCCCAATAGTAATCACCTATATGATCATCGTTTCACCTTACTGAAAATCTTCAAACATTAAGGGAAAACTGAAATTTATTATTGCCTGATCAATAATCGTTTTTCAGTGGACAACTTATTTTGATTGATATTTAAATGTTCCTATGTCTTCTATGATTGAGTGTACTCAATATAACTAACATAGATTTGCATAAGATTTGCACTTTGTGGTTGATTAAATGTTACAGAAAGATAAATGACAAGAGATAAACAAACTAGACATTAATCGACATCATGATTAACCAATGAATGAACGTGTATATATACTCACATTGCGACTTGATTGTAATACTATTACAATATTCAGATTAGGCAATTGATAATAAGCTTTAGAAAATGAGTAAACTTTATTATATTCTCACACTTCATAACTACTTTTATGGCTTTTATTACAAAATACTTCCGACTCATACAGACTCTTGACCTACTGGTTTAAATAATGATTTCGAAATCACAAAGTTCATTCCGATGAAATTGTTTAATCATTCCTATAGTTCAATTATACCGTAAACTTTTGATAAACACTTTATCTATGATCAGACAATATTGATTTTCACTGGTTGAAATCATGAGTCAATTGAAGCTAGACCAGCATGAGAAACCTGAAAGCACTGAACGGCCGTTTCGTTCTGTTGTGGGGCTCATCAGCAGTGCACATCCACGATCGTGCCTCGCGAGATTCGAACCAAGGACCTATCAGTCCCACGCGCGAACACTTAATTACCAGACTACTGAGCTGGCCAGCAACCAGTGGTGTTTATGTCTAACTCTAAATAATCCACGAAATTAAGCGACACATCCATCATTGACATCAGCGAGTTTCCATCTCACAACAGACCCGGTTACTAAATAACAATGTTGAAGTAATCTTTACTTAAAATACAAAAAAAGAAAGGGAATTAAACTAATCAACTGTATTTCTTTGCGTTTGCGCGCGAGACTGTAGGCCTTGCGTTTCAATCCCGCAAGCGGGACCGTGGAAGTGCACTGTTTAGGAGTCCCATACTAAGGAGAAACGGCTGTCCAGTGCTTCCAGGTTTTCCATGGTGGTCTAGCTTCAGTTGCCCCAAATGCCCTGGTATGGCCGAGAGTGGGGTGGGTCCACCCTCCCTCTCGAAATACTCTCACACGGCCATGCGTATACAGCCTCTGCCAGGGAAGTCCTACTCACTGCCTTCTCGTGGCGGGTGTGTTGTCTAAGAAAATGAGAGGACGAAAAGCGAAAGTCCTGCACTTTGACTGGATCCCAAACAAATGGTGCACATGGGTTCCAGTATCCTGAGGGAAAAAATGGCTTATAAACCAATCGTTGGTCACCGTCTACCACGGGAGTGCATCTCCTCATGATGCTCCACTGCCTTGTGGGTCAGACCTTTAGGTCGAAGGCTCGGGGAGTGGCCCCCTAAGAAAACCACCTGCTTCGGTCTGAGCACCTGGGCAGTATCACAGCCCACACACATAAATATGGTGTAGCGCATATATATTTGGTGCCCTCTTGTATCAATATTTATGTGCTGAAATAAATAAATATGGACTTGAAAGTAGCTTCAATTGACTCATGATTTCAATCAGCGAAATTTCTAAAAATCTCCACAAAACCCATTCTGATAATAATACTGATTTCACTTATTAAGTTATTTTACCCGTTGGATTAATCAGCAAAAAGTAATTTTAATTGTTTTTTTACTAATTATTGAAGATATATAGATTAAGATTGATGACAGTTACCAATCTGTTCAGCTGTAGTTATTTGTTCACCAATAATTGATTCTATGATAAATCGCGAGACTATAATTTATATGGACAAACCAATCAAGTAGAAGATAATAGGTTTTGGATTTTGGCGCGAAACTCATTTATCCATTTGGATAAATAGAGTTTTAGTTTTATAGCTGATGTCAGTTCATGATGAAAACCATCAACTGTAAATCCTAATCCTTATTCTTCAAACTGCTTTATAACTTTCATTTAGTCCTAGTAAGTAGGTAGAGAATATCAAGTCACTTTAGCGTCCAGGTTACAATGTGGCCACTAGTCTAGGTGACTCAACATTACGTTCACTAAGTTAAGATAAGATGGTGGTTATTTCACTTTGGCTAGTAATGAAAGGTGGATTCAGCTACTTTGTCATAGTATAGAACCCTTCTTAAGGCAATATTGAGGACCGAACACGGAACTATAAAGTTCACGCTTAATGTTCCTAACAATAAGACAAATAAATTATCAGCCAGTATTATACATGAATAATGATAGTTGTTTTCATTCATGACAATGATAGACTTCTCAAGTCACAAATTTTCACAAAATATTTAAAGGATCATCTAGTAACAAGTCAGCGAAAAAACTGACGATTTCTATTGATCATTAACTAAGAATTTGAGTTATCTATTATTTATTTATTTGTATAAACATACTGCCCAGGTGCCCAAACTGAAGCAGGTGGTTTTCTTAGGGGACCACACTCATATACATTAACCCAGTTAAAGTGTTGAACATTCGCTTTTCATCTTTTCAATATCTTGAACAACAACCCCGCCACGAGAAGGCAATGAGTAGAACTTCCCTAGCAGTGCTTGTATGCACGTGGCTATGTGAGATCATTTCGACAGCGAGAGGTGACTCTCCTCACTTTCAGTCGTACCAGGGCATTTAGAAGGTTCAACATGAAGTTCTACAAGATTCTACGGTACAGTATGAATATTTTGTTTTGATACAATTAGGATTTTTCAAACGAATTTAAAAACAACCATATGAACAACATACTTCTCTTTATTGTTTTGAAGATTGAAATCATCTGAAACAGAAATTCATTTAAGAGATCTAATAACACACATATAGTCATGATTAGTTAATTTAATATTCAAAAAGAATTTATTTCTATAGATGTATTCAGAAGAAACATTGTTATAGTCGGATAGGGTTTTATGTATATATTATAGTAATTTAATAATTGAATTCATAAGTCATTTGGAGCTAGATAGATCTTGGGTTCGAATCTCGCAAAGCGAGATCGTGGATGAGCACTGTTGAGGCGTTCCATGCTGAGACGAAACAACCATCCAATGTTTCCAGGTTTCCCATGGTGTTTTAGCTTCAATTGACTACATGAATTCAACTGTTCAAGAAATATTGTTCATTGATTAGAGTCTTTGTAAACTATGATTTTTTTTGTGTTTTTTAGTCTATAAAATTTATATGCAAGTTGTGTTGATCGTTAAAATACAAGAGTAACAACGATGATTTGTAGGAGATGAAGTAGAAGTCTTCTACCTGACGTTCGTGCTGATGATGTCGTTCAGAAGAACGATGAAAGCTTTACGAACAAACCATACAGTTCAGAGGACAAAACTCCACCAAAATCATCCATCTAAACTACAAATATTCTCCATAGATTTTTTGGAATCTGGTGATACTATATAGGAGTGTTATAATTTATGAGAGTAGTTGATATGTTGACGTAACAAATTATACACAATGATAAAATATGGCTAAATAGTAGTGGCATACGAGGCCATAAGCTAAGGCGGCCAGATCAAAACATGGCACAAATCTATGAAGTCACTGACAAGTAAACTGAGCCATCTTGGTAGGTGTAGACTATCTGATTTGGATCGGCAAGACGATAGCAACCGATAGTTAGGGACCCTGAATGAAATGGCTCAAGATCGTTCGCAATGGTACAGGTGCATCCACTCTTCGTGTTCTCCCAAATTCTAATCTTCACGATTCTTCATATCCCTTCATTTTCTTCTCTTTCCAAATTTATTTCACTGGATTATACTCCTTGAATAAAATCTTCGAACCCTAATGTTTCCGATTACTTATTATACTTTTACTACCACTACTATTATGGAATTTGAATTGACAATTGTATCTGTGTGTTAATGTGGTATGACGACTTGAACTGATGTATGCACGTACGACGTTCCACGTTGTTACTGACTGACTGACTGGCGAGGCCACAATAATTGAATTAAGTTCGAAGAGCAGGCTTTTTTTACGTTCCTAATATGAACTCCTTGTCATTCAATGAAATAGCTATCAAATTGCAGAGTACAACATTGTACACTTTAATATTTCTAGCATCATTATGGAAGGATTCACATCAACGTCAACTATATCATGTTATCTTTAAATGTATCACAATAAGATTTAATTGAACTGATGGTGAAATATGTTTTGAACTAAATGAGTCAGTTAATCTCCTATATTTTATGTAGAACTCTGCAATTTTTATTGATTCGTAAAATACAAACGTCCTTCAGTAATTGATTGTAAACATCCACTCTTACCACATGCTTATTGTAACCCGTTGAACAACATCGACTTTGTTAATTTCCCTCTCTAATGAATATTCCATTACACATAGTATAGTATTCTCTTCATTTTTATTGATGATCGATTGGATGTCATTAAAATCCTAATGAACAGCTTATTACAAGAATGCTGTCATTGTGTTCTGATAAAACTGGCTCTTCGTAATAGTATCATTATGTTTTCGTGTGTGTTTATTTTTTAGCATTTGTACTCACTATTGAATAACTTTAACAGAAAGACCCTATAGTCCAAGTTGAAGCCCGTATAACTGGTGGGGTTCAACCATGGCAAGCTTCGGACAAGTTGCACTGGTCCCTCTTAATGATCGTCACTCTACATAGCAGATTGACTATATTTGGAAATATGAACCATAGACTTTTGACTAGATGGTCTAAAGATTGAATTCTCATAATTGATTCAATACTGGGTAGTGATCAATGTGTGTCAGGTCCTTCTTAGTGCAGATCAAATGCTATCCACCAGGTTGCAATGAGGCCACTAGTCTAAGTGACTCGACATTGCGTGCACTACGTTGAGATAAGATGATGATTGGAGGTGGTCAGCAGGAAACTCTGGACCCGGTTTTCGTGCTATTTGGAACTCGTCAGCAAGATGTGTCTGTAATCTTGAGGGAACCAGTGCTCTCTGACGGATTCGATCCTGTGTCACCCAGCTTCACAGTCAGAGACGTTACCACTGAGCTGTCTGGGCCGCGACTGACCTCCTATAGATCTGAGATGTATTCACAATTGATTGATCACTAGCTGGTGATCAATGTCATGTGTGTCAAGTCGTTCTTAGTGCAGATTGAATGCTATCGATCAAGTAGGATTCTTAGCACTGGATTCCATGCTTGTTTAGATAGTTGGAACAAGAAGTGTACTCTAATAAGACAACATGGTTATTTAGTTCTTTATGATTCTTATTAATTGTCTAATTGAAATCAGTTCATGATTTGAATCATTTTTCTATTAGTTTCCATTAGATGTTAACATATGATCAAGCTAACTCATAAAAGTTAAATTGAATACGAGAATAAATGACGGACTTACTTGATTGATGATTCCCCTAAAAAAATGTAGAGAAACAATTTAACAAAAAAATCTAAATTAAAATGCAATAGGTAACCAGGATATTCTGTTTATGTTAAGTTCGCTACTTGATTAACGAAGAATACGATTTACCACTACGACACTCAAACGTTGGAAATTCACCATCGTAAATCAGAAGACAGAAAAACGGAGCTGGACAAGCCATTTATTTGATAAGAATGGAAATGTATAGAAAATCACGAGTATTTATAGATATTAGCATTTCTGAAATTAACATTATAATTCAGCCAATCCGTAAAGACATATTATGCTACTCTTTAATAGTAGAATGCCACGTTACTATTCTAGAAAACCTCATCATGTTTTGATTGAGTGGAAACTCTCCGATTCCTTTAGGGCCTCTGGAGGCTCCGTTGTATTTCTCGAAAGCCTACTCAATGGTTTATTAAAGTAGAATAACAATCTTTATTGAATGTAGAGCCAGACAAAACCAATCAAAGGCGAGATATCCGTCTATCAATAAAAGGACGAGTATACTGCAAGGCAGTCCATTCTGATTTAATTTACGGCAGCAAAACGTGGCCATTAGGAGTAGAAGATATTCGTAAGCTACCACTATTTGACCACAGATGCCTTAGAAATATTTCTCACATCTCCTGGGATTACCGGTAAGTAATAGTGAGTCAAACGCATGGTATTAGGGAATGATGGTAAATCAGTTAAGGAAGTTGTGAATCTTCGTCGACTGAGATAGTTCGGCCATGTGTTACATATGCCTGAACACTGATTGCCACGACGCACAATGCTACCCGGTGTTTGAGATGGTTGGAAGAAAGTTAGGAGCTTCCAAATCAAAACGTGACATCAGTGTTTGAAGTCACTAACTTCTAGCCTGAGCAACGTTGGTAGATACAGATTATTTGGTTGGGGTCCACGTGACTATCGTAACCAATGGTTGGAGACTCTTGGTGACATGGCTCAGAATCGATCACAATGGCGTTGGTGTATACATTCCCTATCTTCCCTTAAGCTAAGAGATTAAAATCGCTTCATATCTTTCTTTCTACCAACTCATTCTTTCTTCCTGTACTATACCATTATTGCAATCTTTCTTTTATATATTACCACCACTCAATTAACTGCTTCTATGAATTCGGTGTTCACCTTATTGTGCTAATGAGGTATCCCGACTGGTGGTGGTTGGGCTTGCCCACCATGATGAAGCAATCGAGCTATACTGGATGGAACAACCGTTCCTCAAGGTCCTAACATGTCAGACAGGTCGGTCGAAGAGCGGTTAGACTAAAAGCAACAAACCTAAGGTCCGAAGGCGAAGTCGTACTGCTGACTGTACAGAGGTGTGGCAGAAGTAAGGTGTTTCCTTCAGACAACCAGCATGACAGCGATGCTGCCTTCCCACAAGGAGGGATGGGGTTAGAAAAGGTCGACTCTAAAAATGCACACCTCGCCTTATCCCACAGATATCCGTCTCCGTCGGTAAATTCACAACAAATACGGAGCTAACACGAAAATTACCCATAAAAAGATCGTGTGTGATCGACCTCAAGCAGTTGTCCCTTGGGCACTGCAGTTCCGCTCTCAGGTCACTAAGATCACCTCTAATCCAATTTCTTTTTCAGGTACCTCCAGGAGAACCCTTCCACGGTGTGGGAAACCGGGAAGTGATAACCACCCTCATACCTCCAACAGCACTCAAGACCACTGTATTCATAATCAACCTCCTCTTCAATTCCTATTATTCCTCCTACATCGACTTTCACCTCTAAACTTCCTTTTCGGCTTCTCCCTCAAGTGTCACCATAGCCAACGATTCTAGTGCTCAAAACCCTGTCCCAGGTCTACTGAAACCTCGCTCCAAACTACACATTGGAGCCTTCAACGTACGCACCCTATGTCAAATCGGTCAACAGGCTTCCTTGGCTAGAACCCTAGAATCTCGTACCATTGATGTATGCTGTGTCTCCGAAACACGCATACAGGATCCCAGTGTGGTCATTCACTTGACCTCACCTCGGAAAAACGGAGAGCCAACGAGATACACCCTTCGTGTATCCGGTGACCCGATGGCCAGCTCTCGTGGACTGGCAGGTGTAGGCATAGCACTAAGCATGAGGGCGGAACAAGCACTGCTAGAGTGGATCCCCGTCAACAGTCGTCTATGTGCTGTTCGGCTGAACGGCTCCGTAAGAACTCGGAAGGATAGGGACACACGTCGTTGCCTTTTGTCGTTTCTGCCTACGCTCCCACTGACTGCAGCTCAGATGAAGTGAAAGATGAATTTTACAGAAAGCTATCTGAACTTCTTCAGAAAGCTAAACGCTCAGACATAGTACTCGTAGGGGGTGACTTTAATGCTCAGATAGGTAGTTTAAACCAAACAGAAAGGCATTTAGGTGGATATTTTAGTATTCCGGCACAACGAACAGATAATGGTGATCGTCTGCTGCAACTGTGCTCAGACAATCGTTTATTTTTAGCAAACACAAATTTTAAGCATAAGGAGAGACATCGTCTAACATGGCGACCCCCTACACCAAACCAACGATGGACTCAAATAGACCATATTGCCATCAGTCATCGTTGGAGAGGGTCGGTAGAAGATTGTCGCTCATTCTGGAGTACCTGCTTGGACTCCGACCATGCCCTAATACGGGCACGCATCTGCTTGCGCCTCACTGGACGCAAAAAAGCCACATTAAAAAGACCCATTAGAACTGAGTTGAGTAACGAGAAAACCAAAAGTAGGTTCCAGGAACAACTGAGGTCACACTTAGTTGTTCTGAAAACGAGGCTGACCCAGATGTTGCTTGGAAAGCATACAAACAGCTGTGGAAACAGCAGTGACATCTATCAGTGATTTAAACCACAGGGTTACAAAGAACCAATGGATTTCTTCAAGGTCTATTGCACTGATGGATTCTCGCAAACTCGTCCCATCAGGTTCTGAACATGATGAAGAGCGACAACAAATCAGATCTAGGTTAAGAAAAAGTCTAAGAAACGACCGTGAGCAGTGGTGGGCAACGAAAGCAAAAGAGATGGAAAAGGCGGCGACTATAGGGAACACAAGACAGCTTTACAGACTAATAAAAGAAACTGGAATTAATAAGTCAAGTGTAAGTGAGATTATTTCGGAAAAAGACGACACCCTCATCTGCTCCCAGTCCAGACGTTTAGAACGATGGGCGGAACATTTCAGAGAACAGTTCAGCTGGCCTTCAGCTACTCTACAACTACCCTCCATTCCCAGACAGTGTGAATGGAACATTGAAGTAGGTCCCCCAACTCTTGCTGAAGTTCAAAAGGCTATAGTTAATCTGAAGCAAGGAAGGGCAGATGGACTGGCTCCAGAAGTCTTTAAGGATGGTGGTCCAATTTTAGCGATTAGGTTGACTAATATTTTAGCTAAGATCTGGGAGTTAGACGTTATCCCATCTGACTGGTCACAATCACTTATCGTCCCAATATATAAGAAAGGGTCAAAATCATCCTGTGACAACCACAGAGGGATTAGTTTAACAAATATAGTATCTAAAATACTAGCCTCGATAATTATCAGACGCCTAACTAAGACTCGTGAACTGCAAACACGAGAGAACCAAGCTGGCTTCAGACCTGGTCGTGGCTGCATCGACCACATATTCACCATTCGTCAGGTTCTAGAACACAGGCATACTTATCGGCGTCCGACAATGGTGGTCTTTCTTGACTTAAAAGCAGCATTTGACTCGGTAGACCGCGAGATTCTGTGGCAGTGTCTGTCATTGAAAGGCGTACCTCAGAAGTACATAAACCTTGTGAAGGCTCTTTACTCGAACACTACTAGTCGAGTCAGAGCTTATGGCGAACTGTCATCTACTTTTGCAACCTCAAGTGGTGTCCGTCAAGGCTGTCCACTTTCTCCATTTTTGTTTAACTTCATCATAGACCTACTGATGGAAATAACTTTCTCGTCGACTGAATTCTCGGGTATTGATCTCCTTCCAGGAGGTCCACTTATCGACTTAGAATACGCAGATGACATAGTCCTGTTTGGTGAAGACGCTGACAAAATGCAGAGTCTTTTGGTAGCACTAAGCAACAATGCCAGAATGTTTGGAATGCGCTTCTCTCCCTCTAAATGCAAGTTGTTGCTTCAGGACTGGTCTGCGTCAACACCTGAACTAAGGATAGGGAGTGAAGTAGTCGAACGCGTTGACAACTTCACTTATCTTGGAAGTCTGATCAGCCCTAATGGGTTGGTGTCTGACGAAATCTCAGCACGGATTCGAAAAGCTCGTTTGGCTTTTGCCAACTTACGTCACCTATGGCGAAGGCGAGATATCCGTCTATCAATAAAAGGACGAGTATACTGCGCGGCAGTCCGTTCTGTTTTAATTTACGGCAGCGAAACATGGCCATTAAGAGTAGAAGACACTTGTAAGCTACTAGTATTTGACCACAGATGCCTTAGAAATATTGCTGGACCGATACATATATGTGCCTGGTCCTACGATGTAGCTAAATAACTGACTGAACATTGCCATACCACATGAATACAATAGAATAAAGTCACCAAAAAATCAATATTAAATGAGTAAAAATAACAACAGTATAGTAACAGAATAGTAAGGAAAACTGATTATTGAGAATGGGATTTGTGAAGACAAAGTATATAGGGTATGTATGAAGGAATACTAAAACTAAAGATCTAGAGATAGAATAAGGAATGAATACATCTACGTGATTACGATTGATTCAAAGTCATATTATACAATATCTTCAACCAGTGGTCCTGGTTATCACTTGAATGTCAACAAAGTAGTTTACTTTTCACAATAAATACTTACTAAAAATAGCTTACTTAATAAAATAAACTAGGGCGAAACTCTTAGAAAATCATTAGGCCTCTATTTTTTAGGGGGAGAAGATTTTCTATGATTATTGACTTGAAATAATGAGAAAATGATGAAAGCTTTAAAGATGAGAATATTGTACCTCTTCAAACTACCAATAATTTCATTAAAACTAATACGTTTGTCAGTAAATTTAAAGACAAGTACTTATACTTGACTTGGTTCACAAGGGTGCTTGGAACCTGTGTGGTTGCGCTGTACTATACAGATTGTAGCGTTATTGCCTGTAAGGTGTCTGGTCCTCCTGTGAAGCAGGATTGAGCTGTACTGATCGGTTTATAAAATTTAAGCCTGGGCGGTGTTTGGCTCTCTCGTTAAACAGGATTGAGCTTTACTGTTTGGGTTGTCACGTGAATGTTTGGATGGTGTCTAGTTCTCCTGAAAACCAATGTACAATTACCCTCCCCCACAAAAGTATATTATATAACTGCGAACTATCTGATACTTTATTACTTCGTTTATGAACTTAATTAAACAGCTTCCTAATATCTTAATTACTGTGTTCATTAAAATCAGTAAGTAAAGTGAGCAAAAAACTGAGAGAGTGTATACATTAACGCCATTGTGATGGATTCTGAGCCATGTCACCAAGAGTCTCCAACCATTGGTTACGATAGTCACGTGGACCCCAACTAAATAGTCTGCATTTCCCAACATGGCTCAGACTAGAGGTTAGAGACTTCATTGACTGATGCCACGTTTTGATTTGGCCTCCCTTAACTTTCTGCCAATCATCCCCAACGTTGGACAGCATTATGCTTCATGGTGGTCGGTGTCTAGGCATACGTAACACATGGTCGAACTATCTCAGCCGATGAAGATTCACAACTTCATCAACTGATTCACCGTCATTCTTTAATACCTTGAGTCTAACTTCACTATTACTTACCCGGTGATCTCAGCAGATGTGAGGAATATTTATAGGGTATCTGTAATCAAATAATAACAGCAAATGATACAAACGAAAAAAAACTTACAATAACTTCTTTCGATGAATTTTCTTTTATCTCATCTACGTGATGTTCATTATCATTTGATAGTTTTCCATTGATCATCAATGGATATCCTTCTAAGTTGGATTCTATGTTAGTGTCTATTCTAGGCATTTGTTCCAATCCTTTACACATAGTGACATATTGAGATGATAATGATACATCATTATTGATTTTATTGTTATTATTATCATTCACAGTGATTGGTGGTAGCCTAGGTGAATATTTATCATTTGAGTTACATTTATATTGATCAATTAATGGATTATTAGATTTCGATGTTTCTTCTTTATGATCATTATGATTGTCCATTTCATTTGTAGTAGAATAGATAGATGATAAACTAGATAAATGACTCAAAATGAGATTTTTTGGAATACGATGACTATAAACATTTTGTAATTCTAGTAATTTTGTTTTCTCCTGTAAAGATATTACAATTTAAACAAGAATAATAATCAATTCATTATTATTATTATCAGAAAGAGGTTTATGTGAATATTACAGGAATTATAATAAATGAGATCGTGATTTAACTGAAGCTAGACCATCATGGAAAACCCGTAAACACTGGACGGCCGTTTCGTCCCATTGTAGGACTCCTCAGCAGTGCGCATCCACAATCCCGCCCCCCCCCCGCCGCGAGATTCAAACCCAGGACCTATGGGTGTGGCGCGCGAACGCCTAACCTGTAGACCACTGAGCGGATATCCAATGGTGTTAATGCACAACATTAACTAATTCACGAAGTTGAGCGATACATCCACCATTGTCTTCAGTGAATTACTATCTGACAACAGACCCAGTTGAACACTACTAATCACTGCTTCTCATTAGAACTTCAGGAAATACCTCAATAAGTTGTATGACATTATTCTAGTATTCTAACTTCAAAGAGGAAGAGTATCTATATGATAAAATAAACGTTAACATATACATTCACTGAACAGAAGATTTAAAATTACCGGAATAGGTGAAATACTTAATAGAAACATTTTATAATTACCTGTAGTTGTTGAGTTCTTTCGTGAAGTTTATCTTTTAAATGTTGATATTCTTGTTGTAAATTTCGTAGTTTTTCATTATTCATATTAATTTGTTGTTTATGATTTTTTGTTAGTACATCTAATTGATGCTTTAATTGCTACAATAGAGAAGAAATAATGAATGAGTTATGTTATGTCCCGAGAAACATAATGAATGGTAACTTTTGGGATCTATTGATGGACCAATACTAAGCGTATATTTCTATTGTATAGTTATTAAGTACCTAAAATATCCATATTCATATTCCTCTTATTATAAACTTTGTTTTGACCTATGAACCATTATTATATGATTTACCATTCTTGAGTTATGCCCTGTCTATTAGTCACTGCCTCCCTCATTCATAGCTACATTTGGATAAATCTTGTACAAATGTTGTTTCCTATTTTATGGTACTTTGCGGTCTGTTTGATTGGTATATAAAATCAGTATGTTTGAAATATAAGGATTTATATTGTAGAGGTTGAGATTGTTTTTCTAGACTTAACTGACTGGGCTAGGCAGGAAGCAAGACCGATAAAGACGCTAGACTGCTCGTAATTATTTTATGCGTCATTGATTCGATCGATAATTCGCTGCTTCTGATTGGCGGCTTTGGGCCATAACAATATCATTCAAAATGATGGATACTAATTGATAGGTAAGTGAATTGGCAGTTTTAATGAAAACTGTTGTTTCCCAATGTGTTTACATATCTGTTAACTAAAGCTACGTTTATGAACATTATCACTAAGATATTTAAGCAGCGGTTGACGTTCTGTAGTTCTAAATGATAGTACCAGCACATAAGTAGCATTATTAATATTAGGAGTCTATAACGAAGAGATTATATATAACTGAAAGCTGTGTGTGACTATAAAACAACGAACTGTGAAAATCATCATATGAATAAGTGCAGAATGCGTGGTTGGAGCCTGAGTGACTGTCGTAATCTCCAGTTTTATAGTTATTATATATACCATCTACCCTATATAAATCCATTCTTTCTTCATGAAGAATATCATATGTATATTATCGTTCCTATCATTATTATTGTTATCATCACTACGATTACTACTACTACTACCAATAATAATAATAGTACTAATAATTCTGTTACTCTAGAATTTATCGACATAACTTCATTTCACTGTGCTAGTAAGGTGGGACAATTGTTGAGAGAGATTGATTATGAATACAGGGGTATTTATTGCTGTTAGAAGTATGAAGGCGGTTATCACTTCCCGGTTTCCCACACCGTGCAAGGGTTCTCCTAAAAGTACCTGAAAAAGAAATTGGATTAGAGGTGATCTTAGTGACCTGAGAGCGGAACTGCAGTGCCCAAGGGACAACTGCTTGAGGTCGATCACACACGATCTTTTTATGGGTAATTTTCGTTAGCTCCGTATTTGTTGTGAATTTACCGACGGAGACGGATATCTGGATAAGGCGAGGTGTGCATTTTTAGAGTCGACTTCTGCCACACCTGTACAGTCAGCAGTACGACTTCGCCTTCGGACCTTAGGTTTGTTGCTTTTAGTCTAACCGCCTTCGACCGACCTGTCTGACATGTTAGGACCTTGAGGAACGGTTGTTCCATCCAGTATGCTCGATTGCTTCATCACGGTGGGCAAGCCCAACCAACACGCAAAGTAGCGACAACTGTCAGGGTGGGATAACACGAACTAATGCAGGTATTTACCAGATTCTAGGTGTGCATAATTGACTACTGATGTCCACATTATTACCACTACATATCTGGCACCTGTATTTGCATCTACTGAATTTCTGACATAGCTCCTAAGAATTTTTCAAAAAATTAGTGAGATCCTCTACTAAGTAAAGTATTTCAAACCTTTGCTTATAATTACATAAAAACTTGTCATTTTAGGCTGTTTTAACTAATGGAAACTTTGAAACAAGATGAATTCACTTTATTCTGGGTGAACCGGTATTGCAGAGATGATATTCACTCTATGACTCTAACCCAGTACCATTCGCTTCAAACTCCATTGCATTATCCACTTAGCTACTGAGTCCTGACGAGTTTCTAATAGGACGAAACGCGCGTCAAACTGGATTCCACTGCTAGTCACTTTTCATATTTGCATATAGTACTTGTGAATTACAGTTACATCAAGGCAACGAGTACAGTATGCACATATGCCAATAAGAGATTAATTAATTGCAGTCCTAAACATCAATGAGAAAATTCAAACAAACAATACCAAGTGAATCTATCTTAAGTTTAGCTCTTTACTCATTGTATTTGATAAGATAGTCATAAAGAGTTGAAACAGTGTCTTATACTAAAGAAATATGAAAATACTACATTGTATTGCAACTCAGCCTGGAACCCCCCCCCCTCGAGGCTACAACCGGTCCAAAGCCCGTATAAAGAAGAAGGGTTGGGTATTGGGGTTAGTTACCCCAACCCGTTGAAAACTAACTTGCTAAAAAACGCTAAAAACGCCATATTGTATTTCCAATTTGAAAGCTTACCGAATTTTTCTTCTTTTCTTCTTGTAATTCTATAGATATGTCATAATTTTTATTGTTTCGTTTGTGTGATACCGATGATCCTTCATCAGTATATTGAGATTGATTATGTTTTTCATCAATTGTTTTCTCTAATACATAAATACGTTGTTGTAGTTCGTGAATTTTTCTTTGATCTATACATGATTGTAGAGTTTTTTCACGTAGACGAACTTGTAATGTACGTATTTCTGAATTTAAACGATCAACAATTTGTGGCATATCAGCTTCTTGTCCTATAGCCTAATTCATTTTAAAAGAAATAGTGATTACTCATTTAATGAACTAGTGTTATACCAGTATTATAGGTAGGCTATTTCAATGTAGAGATATTATAATTTCTCATATTTCAGTTAAAACCTTATAGTATTTGATTGAGATCATTAATTGATTGGTGTTAGGCCACCGTTGAAAACATGGAAGCACAGGACGGCCGTTTCGCCCTATTGCGGGACTCCCAAACAATGCGCATCCATTGTCCCGCTCGCAGGATTAGAACGCAGGGCCTTCAGTCTCGCGCGCAAACGCTTAACCTCTAGAGCTCAGCGCACTGCCAAGGATTCCCGCGATAGGACAAAACAGCCGTCCAGTGCTTCCAGGTATTCAATGGTGGTCTAACACCAATCGATTCTTGAACTCAATCAAAAACCTAATAATCTCCGAAACCCTGATATCATGAAAAGTGATTCAAGTCAGTTGTTAGCAATCATTTAACTGGTAGCGAAACAGCTGAACTTAAAGTTAAATTACATATCTAATCCTTTTGTTTAGTTGAGTGGTTACTTTATAGTTAAATTACTCAAAAATAACTTATTTCATTACGTGTTCGAACATCGCTAGAAACTAGCTTGAATCACTCATCATGATATCAGGTTTTAACTGAAATCAGTCAGTCAGTCAGATACAACGTACGACCAGGCACATATATGCATCGGTCCAGTTGACACACCTCATTAGCACAAGATGAACACCGAATTCACGAAAGTAGTTACTTTAATGGTGGTGATATATATAAAAAAGATTGTACAAGGGGATAATACAGGAAAAAATGATAAGTTCGTAGAAATAAAGGTATAAAGCAATTTTCAATCTCAAGGTCTAGGGGAAGATAGAGAGTGTATACATCTACGCCATTGTGATCGATTATGAGCTATGTCATACACAATCTTCAACCATTGATTACAATGGTCTAATGGACCTCAACCAAATAGTCTGCATCTACCAACACAGCTCAGACTAGAAGTTAGTGACTTCAAGCACTGATGCCACGTTTTGATTTGGCCGCCTCTAACTTCCTTCCAACCATCTCCAACACCGGTCAGCATTGTGCGTCGTGGTAATCGGTGTTCAGGCATACGTAACACGTGATCCAACCATCTCAGTCTATGAAGATTTACAACCTCATCAACTGATTCACTATCATTCTCTAATACTCTGCGTCTAAATTCATGGTCATATTTCGCAACCGTAAAGTAGAACAAAGCGAGCTGCCGCACTGTATACTCGTCATTTTATTGATAGACGGATATCTCGCCTATGTCATAGGTAACGTATGTTGGCAAAAGCCAAATGAGCTTTTCGAATCCATGCAGAGATTTTGTCAGATACCAACCCATTAGGTCTGATCAGACTTCTAAGGTAAGTGAAATTGTCGGGGCATTCTACTACTTCACTCCCTATCTTTAGTTCAGGTGTTGAATATCTCTACCTGGTTAGTTACATGAATTTAGTTTACTTATATTACTGGTGTGAAATGATATCTTTATAAGGTTCTACTGACTAACATACCTATGAGAGAACTCAAAATAAAACTAGAAACCATTCCTTAACAAGTTTCATGGAAATCACTGTTATTTTTTTTAAAAGATAAATCTAACTTACTTTATCCAGTCGTACAGCTTGCATTTTATATTGTCTTTGTAAAGTTTTCAATTCTAATTTGCAATCTTTTAATTCTTTATTCAATTGTATAATTAAACTATTTGCATCAGCTAATGCGAATTGATTGGATTCCCATCTATCTAGAACACTTGATGAGAATTTCTTATTGAAATTTGATTTTTTTGATGATGTTGATGAGATATGATCAAATTTCGAATGAGATGAAGGTTTATGATTGAATTATGCTGTGATAGTTTTGATTTATAGTTAATAGTTTTCAATGCTTTAAATTAAAACGAAAAAAGAAAAGGATTCATCTATAATTTTGAAAAAGAAGTAGTGATGATCGAGATTCAGAGGTAAAAGTAGTAGGTATAGTGAAGAAGAACATGAATGGGGACAATTGAATGTATTTTAACACGAAATTATAAAACTGCCTTTCATTCCTGTTGTTTCCTTCTTGATCTTCTACTGAAATATATTCTTTTCCTGTCCATCGTCATATACTACTAACGTAAATATAAGTAGCTCACAGCACACTCGTCCCCTCTTTAAAGCATTCGTTCTTGCGTGGTTTTGCTCACCGTGTCGAGTCTGCGGCGCTGACGTCCATAGCTCTGCCGGAGCACCAACACCCGGTATCCACTCGACACCTTGGACGTTCAACGTCAGCTCTCCAACGGCCGTTCACATTGTTTCCTTCTCGATCTTCTACTGAAATACATTCTATTCTTGACCATATAAGTAGCTCACACCACAGTAAGAAATCAAATAAGAATGAGAAAGCTAAAAACAACTGCTGTTCCATCCCCGACAAGCTTGTTTTCAAAATCTTAATCTAAATTAAAGGCAAATCTCTGAGTCTTCTTTAACCAAAATATAATTAAATTACTAAATTATCCACTATGTCAAATTTATTCAATTTGAAGTGTGATGATGTTGACATTACATGGCTAACATATTCTTAAACTAGTTGATTATCCAGATCATAGCAAAACAACTATAATTAGGAATATGAATTGTTGTATTTCAGTACATTTAACTTATTATACTGTACTCATCATAAGGTCTAAGGTTCATTCAATCAAACAACTCCGAATCTTCCAACAATGCCCATTAATCCAAGTTCTCTAACCAAATTGGTATACTTAGATAATAATTTTATCATTTATTGAAGGACAAACTAAAAATTAAGGATTTAATTAGGAATATGGGATAAAAAAATATAAACAAAGAAATCATACAATCCATTACATTGAAGATGATAAACAATCTGTACCACTGTGATTGATTCTTCAACATATTGTCAAACATTTTCACTTACTTATTACATTCATTAAGTGGTTCCTAACAAAGTGTGGACTGCTTGATAATGTTAAACTAGAAGAAAACAACCTTTCAATGTACGTTAATCTTTATTGATTCTATAGTTAATATGTTACAAACCTTCTTAAATCTAGACTTATTCGACTGACATAAATTACCTATTAAATGTTTATATCACTAAAAGTCGCTATTTCGTTTTAATGATTAAGAGTATTCAGCGAATGACAATCAAAGTCGCCCTTATATTTGATATTCACCGTGCAACAAGGAGTATTTACATTTTTTTAAAGAAATTGATGAAACGTATGATAATCGAATTCTAATATCAATTTACATAGTTAACCATTGACTTTGTTTCATAAATACTAGTACACAGCCTAATTTACCAAATTAAGTAAACTAAGGAAATCTGTCGGGATTAAAAGTTACAGACACCAGTGCAGACTAAGTTTAAAACAAGTACTATATACTGTCTTTAATGATTATATTAGAATATATAGGTAATTTGGGCGGGACTATAATTTATGAACGGACCAATCAGATTTATGATAATAAGTCTTAGATTTTGGTGAGAAATCCATTCACGTATTTGGCTAAATAGAGTCTTAGCATTATAGCTGATGTCGGTTCGTGATAAAAACCCTAAATCTACTTCCTAACCCTAACCGTCGACTGTAAATCATAATCATTATTCTTCAAACTGCTTTATAACCCTCATTTAGCTCTAGTAAGCAGGCAGACACTCTCAAGATCATTTAACGTCGCTCAAGAGGTTGTCCATTAATTATGTTCTCACCTAAATTTGTATTTCAACAGTCAGTTTAAGTAAGTGAAAAAATCGCCTCCTGTAGGTTTTATAAAGAAACTTAAGCCGTGGTTCATTCCATGCTGTTTTTTTATGCTAAATATGTTTGGTTTCAAAAGTTTTATACTCAAAGGAAGTCATTTACCTTACACGGTATAATCTTTTCTTAACTAACTAGTCATGTAGTCTCGAAATGGATAAAGTCTAAAAAACATTATCCGCTAATAATCTACATAAGTGAGCTATTTTATCAACATTCTTATCAACAATTTTTTTGCTATAAAAAGTAGTTTGGTTACAGCAAAAATATATTGGTCTGAAACGAGATATTAATTATATAAAACACGAACATCTGGTTATTAGTATATGACGCATAAAATAATTTTATGATGTAGATGGTTGTTTCACGTTTCTATGATATGACAGTCATATGTCTTGAATTATTCCCTAGAATGTTTAATCAAAATGATGAATTCACTAAAAACCAGCATTAAATAATTTGATATGTAGGAACATATGTACATTACTCAATGGTAGCATATTTTGCATTAAAAAGATGATAATCAAGGAGATGAAAATAATAGTAGTATCGGTAACAGTGGCAAACTTATCATTAAAAATAAACTTTTCAGAAAATCGACGGAATCAAAAAACGGGAAGCATGAAATAATTTAGGCTAAGGATTAGGTTGAGCGTAAATAACGTCTATGCTTGTGCCACTGTAAATGATTTACAGTGATGGCGAGTGATGTTGTCAGTCTTTAATTACAATTAACGCACAGTTTTCAAAAAGAAATCCTATACTTTTTGGCGAAACCTGGGCTGAGACTATGTAAATATACAAAATGAATCCGCTTCTTGATTTGCATGACCCCAGTTATTTCCCAATTCACTCTCATACAATCTATAACTGAACAACAAGGAAAGAGGTAGCATGATATGTGTCCCATATATACTAAACACCTCAGGTGAAAACTTTTCTCGTACTCTTCTACAAGCTTTTCACATTGCAGTGACTACCCTTCACCTGCCTCAGCATATCCAGCTAAGTCTTTCCATTTACACGTATATCGATTCAGGTTGAAAGACAGTATTTTAGCAAACATTTCTTCCAACCTGTATTCCATGCTTCCCAGCAATCAAATAATACAGAGCAATCCAAAGCATTTTCATTGGTATCTGTGATGTATTTCAGTAAATTGTTTGAACATCTTTTGAATAAAAAGCTCGTTTCAAAAAGTAAAGTGATGAGTATCGTAATGAATTTAAAGTGAAAATTAACAAAGCATACTTTGTGAAGCACCCATCTATTTCAAAAGGGATCGATCAAACGTTAGCATTATGCATAATTTGGTCCCTAATTTTTACGGTATTTGGTAACCCTCAAGCCCAGCAGATAAACTTACACCCTAAATCATGAACACCTATTAATTGACTTAAATTTTTAACTTAATATATGAATCCGTTTCAAGCATGTGTAATTAATACATAAGTAGTATCGGTAGCATAACTCAACAACTGCAAAAACCGGATATGCGAATTACGAAACTAGCAGAATAAGACTTTTAAACAATAATGATACTCGTTGGCGGTTTGAATTTACCAAATACCTCCGAAAAAAATTCAAATGACAATTTTAAAACCAATGTACAGTTACATCGATAAAAATCAACATGACGTTACTCAAGATACAATATCGTGGAGTGTGTACATTCCTGTATATCAGTATGTATATACGAAGACGTTTTTTTACCACGGTGCCCGTAAGTTAAGGATTTTAAATTGGTCTGAATTTCCTATATTGCTTCATAAAAGTTTATGGAACCTAGTCACTCTCATGTAACGATAAATAAATCCCCATAATAAGTGATCCTGTGAGTCGTCAACATTTGATACCGAGTTCATTACTTTTAGTGGAGACACCTCATCTAGGGGCGCTTGGTCAGCTGTCTGCATCAGATCACGAGCAGGTACCCCGCGCTACGCATCTCATGGAGATACTAGCCACCATAGATCAGACGTTTCTCAATACATTGACAATTTTACCATATATATGTACAATCGGACTGGCTCATTCCCGACTGAGTCGGAATCTTTTGGTCATAAACATGTTACAACCAGAAGCGTTCTCAAGCCCTGACTATATTTGCCGTCTTTACTCACTACATGTCCAAAAAACGTTTTGTTGCACTTTGACCAAAAGCGGAAGCAGTTGATAATTACAAGCTCATAGAAAAACTCTATGTAATACTTCAATATCAGTAGCTTAGAAATTAACAAAATCACCCACGTACGTGATTTAGTGTTTGGATTACTTTCTTTGTTTTGTTTAGATTTCTGCCTTAAAGCCTTGAAACTCTCGAGATCTTTGTTTTCAGAATATGCGAATTCCGAGTCCGCTTCATAGGTCTCACTGCAATCTGGTGTGACTTGATAATTTGGCAATAAGTTACACATCTGGATATAATGTTATCTGAACCACTTCAATGGCTGATCTTTTTACTATTTGTCAATGTATTCTACAGTTGAATGAACTTGTTTCGTGACGATATCCGGTACCTATATCATCTTAGGTCGATAACATAGGATGACATCGGGTTTCTACGCAATTCTAAAACGCGCTTATTGCGTAACCAACTTTCACCTTGAGGAGGACGGATTGTAACACAACCAAAATGGGATCTAATGTATTTGCATAAGCCGACTGATTTCTTCGTTTCTAACCCTCATTATTTTTTCAACGGTTACAGATCTTTGATGGTATTCGATGGACTGAATCTGGCTACTCAATTGTAACGATTATAGTCAGAATGTTATTCAATTGTAGGTCATATGTTTGGTTGAGCTTATGATGAATGAGCTGCGTACACTGATGAAGATTGGTTTAATGTGGTATTAGGCATCTATTTTGCTGGTTCCGTTAGTTGATTCAGTGTGCTGCAAGCATACCTTCCTGAGCCACGGGCGAGGAAGACTAGATCTGAGCCCTCAGAATTGCTGAAGCACTACAATATCATAGTGACGTTGGACCTAGTTACTACAGAAACCACACTCTAGTGCTGGCTTGCTGGTTTAAACTATTGACATGGATGCGAGAAGATTATCCTTATTCTTGAACGTCTTACTACCGACATTCTCAAACTGTTTTCCTAATCGGTTCCGATATCTTTGAGTTCGTCTACACATCGACAGAACACTTGAGAGAAGGCGCAAACTGGAAGCAGAATGTTTAGCCCTTTATGTACTCTGATAGGTGATAGTTTCTTGGCTGCTCCAACACATTTCCTCATTTGAATATTATGATATTTTCCTCAGGTCTGCTCGTAGATTGATGACTGATTAACAGCCTTCCTTTTTTAATGTTTCTCATCCTATTTTTTTTTTCGTAAATTCCTTTTAATTTCATCCGAGGCTTTTATTTTGTAAGTGTCTGTGTGTATATGTGGTAGCAGATTGTCTTGACTATCTCAAGTGAACACATTTCTTTCATCTTTACCGATTTGATACTAACCGCGCTCGTTTCAAAAAGGGCAGTGATTTTTGTACTTGATGTGATTATACTTGCTTTGGGTACTTTTTACACTAAAAGCATTCTTGGCCTACTTTATCCAAAAGTACCTTGGTTAAAGTTTGAAATTTTTTGCCAAATTTTGTCCTGAGTACCTTTTTTTACCCCTTGACTAACACTTGTGTTCACATTGTGATCATTTTTTTGTTTTTAAACCTTTTAAATCGAATTACAATGGTTGGTAAGACTCACAAATGTGGGCAACCAAATTGTTTGTTCTCCGTTGAGGAGGGAATGCAGTGTGACGATTGTAAAAAGTGGTATCACAAAATGTGTACACGACTAAGTCCGACGGCTTACAAAAGATGCTCGAAGCCTAACTCGCATTGGCTTTGTATGTTCTGCTGTACGGATAAAAAGGTACTAATACAGGAGGCTATGGGCCTATTGGCTTTGGCCTGCAAGAAAAACGATGGCGGAAGCACTGATAACAGGAGCACTGACGATGAAGAATGTGTCAGTGTAGTAAGTGCTGCTACTGGACCCATTAAACACCTGACTGCGGTTGACGGGAACGTGAAATCTCCGTTGACATTAACGAGAATGAAGTGTCGCTTGATATTGACATCGGCAGTCATACACCTCTAGTCGAAATAGAAGATCCGGATAAAACTGTCACCGTTCCACATAGTCCAGGTGTGGCTGTTCTGAGTGGTGACAAATGGACTTCGGTAAGAAGAAAAAAAATTGGGAAGAAAAAGGCTGTAGGCAAAACGCAGCTGGTCAGCAAGGCATTGGAAGGGATGTTATCAGAAGAAAAATCCTCACCGCGTGAAAGACAGATCTCTCTGAGAGATCAGTCATTTTTCATAAGATAAGAGAATCTTCAGATACTGAACCAAAGGCAAGATTTGAACATGATCTCAATCATATTAAGACATCATTAAGTAAACTACTCCCAGATACAGTTTCAGGAGTTAGTATTTGTAAGCTTTATAGAATAGGAAAAAAGGTGGATTCCGAAAGTCCTCAGAAAAACCGCCTCCTAAAGGTTACATTCAACACGGTGGAAGAAAGGAACCTGATTCTAAGTAATTCACGTAAACTGATTGGATCCGGAATATATGTCCGTGAGGACCTCAGCCTAGCTGATCGTATTAAGAGAAGAGCTGCAGAAGCGGAAATAAACGAGCGTCGCCGAAACGGTGAAAGAAACCTCGTTCTTAAGGGTTTTCAGATTGTAAAAGTTCGGAGCAAAACGATCCCCAAGCCACTCTGGGTGGCAAGGGAAAGCTCTCCACAGACTTAAAAGTGTGCTACACAAATGCTCGCAGCCTACTAAATAAAATGGCGGAGCTGAAGTCAGTGGTGGATAAAGAAAAACCGGACGTTATCGCTGTCTCGGAAACTTGGTTAACGTCAGAAGTATTAGATAGTGAAATCCAATTGACTGGTTTCATAACCAGTAGGGCTGATAGATTAAACCGAAGGGGAGGCGGGGTTATTCTGTACACGAAAAGTACCCTAACCATAAGATTAGCTGAGACAGTAGCACATGTTTCAGGGACATGTGAACTGGTGAGATGTAAGTTGAAATGCCGAAGGCAAGATATTGAAGTAGTTGTAGTTTATCGCAGTCCAGAATGTGTAGCAGATGATTTTCTCCTAAGTAAACTTAAGTCCTGGTGTAACAACGGTAAAAGCCTTGTAGTAGGCGACTTTAATGCACCATATATAAACTGGGTTAACTTAGAAGTAGGGTCATCCATATCGTCGTTCGACTGCAAACTGTTAGAAACCTCGATTGGACTAGCATTATTCCAACACATTAGAGATCCCACAAGATACGACTTAAGAAACTCTTCTCTTTTAGATTTAGTCTTCACACACGGTGATGACGTTGGTCAAATGGCTTTTCTCCCACCACTTGGGAGAAGTGACCATGCAGTCATCTTATTCAAATTCATGGCTGAGATTGCCTGTCAAACAGTTGCACCGGCCCGTCCCAACATATACAATCGGGTAACTCAACCATACATACCCTGGACTGTCCCAAAGAAAAAGAGGCACGGATATCCCTGGATAGAGCGGGATATTCGACACTTACTAAGACAAAATAAAAAATGCTGGGAGGTTGCCATCCGCCTCGGCACAGCAGGTACGATAGAACGCTACAGATCGATAAGAAACGAGTGTATAACAAAAATTCGGTAAGCTCAAAGAAAATATGAAACGCAGCTGGTACAATCTGCACTCAAGCAGCCCAAGAGAATATTCTCGTACATAAACTACAGAACAAGGATGCATCATTGTATTCCCAACTTATTAAAGAAGGAAGTGAATCTGAAGTGATAGAGGAAGATCAGGAAAAAGCAGAGGCTATGGCTGACTATTTTCGGACAGTTTTCACTCAGGAACCTCCTCTAGACTGAGAACCTAACCAAATAAACAGCCAACAAACCACCTGCTCAACGTAAACTTCGATCAAGACGATGTGCTTAAGGCTCTTAGCACCTTAAACATGGAAAAGTCAACAGGACCAGATGAACTACACCCCAAAATCTCAAGACATATTGCACAATATATCGCGGCCGCACTGGCTGTGATATTCGATATGTCACTTGACCAAGGTGTGTTACCTATGGACTGTAAGGATGCAATCGCCACTCCCATACATGAGACAGAACCGAGACAAGTTCCATCGAACTTCAGACCCGCGAGTCCAACCAGTGTTGTAGTGAAAATATTGGATAGAATAGTCAAACGGACAATAACGGCATTTATGGAAACCAATAACTTGCTGAACATGGCACAACATGGTTTTAGAAAGGGTCTATCCTGTACAACGAACCTCCTTATAGCTAGGGAGCTCTGGATTAATGCGCTAGACAACGGAAACTCAGTGGATGTTGTCTACATAGACTTCAGTAAGGCTTTTGACAAGGTGCCAACTAATAGGCTGCTATTGAAGTTGGCAAACCTTGGTATTGCCGGACCTCTTTTAAAATGGATTAAGGATTTCCTAGTAGGTCGTAGGCAAAAAGTAAGAATAAATTCCAAGTGCTCCATCTGGAGACCAGTACTTAGTGGAGTACCCCAAGGTTCCGTCTTAGGTCCTTTACTTTTTATAATGTACGTTAATGATCTTACAAGTATAGTACAGTCTCCAATGTTATTATACGCTGACGATGTAAAAATTTGGCGAGTAATAACTGGAGACAAAGACGCATTTACTCTTCAGGCGGACTTAAATAATATGATAAACTGGTCTAAAGAGTGGCTAATGCCTATCAACTCGGAAAAGTGTGTCTACATGCACTTGGGGGATTCAAAGGTTAATACGTACAACATAGGGGATGTGTCATTACCCGTAGTCCGGTCTCATAAGGACCTAGGGGTGACAGTGAGTAATGATCTTAAGACGACGGCCCATTGCCGGGAGGTCGCAGTTAAGGGGTTTCGAACCCTCTGGGCTTTAAAAAGGACATTCACTAAGTTAGATACTACCATGTTCACCACATTATACACATCCTTAGTGAGAACTAAGTTAGAGAACTGTGTTCAGGCTGCAAGCCCCTGTTTAAAAGGTGACTCGGACATACTAGAAAAAGTACAGAGGGCAGCTACGCGTGCAATTCCGGAACTCCGGGGTTTATCATACAAAGAGCGGCTTGAAAAACTGAACCTCTTTACTCTGTCCTATCGCAGACTAAGGGGAGATCTAATTTTGATGTACAGAATACTGAGAAATGATTTCGGACCTAACTTATTCTCTCTCTTTCTTCCCACTAGATCGGGACACCTCAGAGGACATAGCAGGCGAGTAGAAAAGCCAAGAACGAACAAAATACCCGTGGCATACAGGTTTTCACACCGAGTCATCAATACTTGGAACCTGCTGCCTGAAGCAGTGGTGTCCGCACCTTAAGTTGACGCTTTCAAAAGAAGA